AAGAGTTTTCCTCTCTTGAGCTGTCAAGATGATGACCCTCCCAAACATGATGACCCTCTCCAAGGACCAGTCAGTCCCTCCTTGTAACATGTCCAAAGTGCATCAGACTCCTCCAGGACCCTTGACTCTAAGGAGCTTCCTGGTTTCACCCTCTCCAAGATAAACATGTTTGTTGTCCTAGCAGCCCATGGTATATTCAGCACTCTTCTCCAGCACCACAGCTCAAAGACAACAGTTCTCTTTCTATCATCCCTAGTCATTGTCCAGTACTGTGATGCATAGCAAGCAGTTGTGAAGACTACGGCCCGGATCAGGCGCACCTTAGTCTTCATATTAACATCGTTCCTCTTCAGTACTCTGGAGAGGTCCCTGAGAGCTGATTTTCCCATGCAATTTGTCTTTTGATTTCCTGGCTGCTGGTACCAAGAGTGTTGATTATGGAGCCAAGTAAACTAAAACAATTCAAAATCTCAGTCTCTTCACCATCCACCAAAGTGAGAATCTTTGTTTTCTTGAGATTGAGCTTCAGTCCTTATTGAAGATTGCAGTCTATGACCATCTGCAGCAACCACTTCAAGTCTTCCTCAGTTTCAGCAAGCAGGGTTGTGTTATTTGCATAATGCAGGTTGTAGATGAGTCTTCCTCCAGTCCTGATGCCACATTCCTCTTCATACAGTCCATTATCCTGGATGGTCTGTTCTGCATATACTTTGAAAACGTATGGAGACAGAATACATCCCTGTCAGACACCCTTCCTAATTTTGAACCATGCTCTGTTTTTGAACCTTGCTCTGTTCTGACAACTGCCTCTTGGCTCATATATTATAAGTTTCACATAAGCACAATCAAATGTTCTGGAATCCCCAGTATTCTCAAGAGTTAGCCACAACTAGTTTTCATCCACACAGTTAAAAAGCCTTGCATAGTCCGTGAAACACAGGTAGACATTCCTCTGATACTCTCTGCTTACAGTTCAGATCCATCTAACATTAGCTATAATATCACTAGTACCACTTGTCTCTTCAAAACCGAGCCTTCAGATCTGGCAGTACTCTGCTGATGTGTTGTTTCAGTCATTTTTGGATAATTTTCAGCAGAATCTTGCTTGCATGTAATATTGATGATATTGCTCAATAAATTCTGCACTCTGTCGGGTCACCTTTCTTTGGAATGGAAACAAATATCTATCTCTCTCAGTCAGTTGGCCAGCTGGCTGTCCTCCAGATTCCTTGGCACAACTTAGTGAGCACATCAGAGGCAACATTTGTTTGTTGAAATATGTCACTTGGTATGCTGTCAATTCCTGGAGCCTTATTTTTTGCCAGTTTTTTCAGAGCAGCTTGAACTTCTTCCTTCATTACCAAAGGCTCTTGCTCATGGGTTGTTTCATGAAATTCTTTTGTGTCAGCCCATTCCTTCTGGTACAGTGACTCTATATACTCTTTCTGTCTTCTTTTAATGCTTCTTGAATAATTTAGCATACTCTGCCCAAAGCATCCTTAAGTTTTGCCATTTGTGGCTTGTATTTGTTTTTAAATTCCTTTAGCCAAAGAAATGCTAAGAGAGTTTGGCCCCTTTGATTTTCTTCTCCAGCTCTTTGCACATTTCATTATAATAACTTCCTTTGTCTTCCTGAGCTGCCCTTTGAAGTTTTCTGTTCAGCTCTTTAATTTCTTGATTTCGTCCTTTTAGCTTTGGCTTCTCGGCCCTCTAATGCAATATTCAGAGTCTCATCTGACATCCATCTTGGTCTTTTCTTCCTCTTCTGCCTTTGTAATGACCTTTTGCATTCTTCATGGACTATATTCTTGATAGCCTCCCACAGCTCATTTGGTCTTCACTCGTGGGTGTTCAGTGCCTCAAACCTGTTCCTGAGATGGTTTTGAAATTCAGGTGGGATAGACTTACGATCAAATTTTGGTCCCTGTGGATTTTATTTTCTTCAACTTCAGCTTAAACTTGCATGTTAGTAGTGTAGTATATTATATAATTGTATATATTCATGTATTTGTTGATTACCTTCTTAGTGCTCTCTTTTGTCATCTGTATAACAAGTGTTGAGTTTGAACCTTCCTCAATTCCTTTTGAACACTGAAGATTTAATTTCCGTATAGCTGTGAAATGTTTCTGCCTCCATTTTTTGTTTGTTTGTTTGTTTGAAAGGTTGTGAAGTTTATGTTTAAAGAGATCTATTATGTGGGCCATTTCTAAAAGAAAGTTAATGAAAGGCATACACCACACAGATATTTTAACCTGTTGTAACTGGTGATTTCCAGGCATTAGTAACAGAAGGCTGGCTGTGCACACATAGGGATTGGTCTGAGATCACAAGAGATGGCAAGAATAGATGGATTCCCTTCCAGAAAAGGGAGATAAATACTTTAATCCACAACCCAGGAATTAGAGTAGGAGTGTGATAACACTGACTGCAGGTGTCCTGGGGCTGTTTGTTTACTTTTAAGATTTTTCTGTTAAATTGACTTTATATATTGAACAAGTCAGAGAGAATGTCGAAAGAGTTGTGTTTCACAGACACCTAATTATTTTACCACAAAGAGGGCATTGAATACAATGATAAGGCCAACCCTGATATTTTATTGAGTGGGGTTTGTATAGTTGAAAAGACACAGGAGGACAGGCTACTCCCGGGCGAGGGGGAAAAGGCTTCCAGCCTTGCCTAAGTACTTTTCCACTTCGTCCAGTGTTATGTGGCATTATATTATGTAAGTCATGTGGTGGAGTACTCTGTCAGGCTCATAATAGTTGACTCTACTCTGTGTATGTTGGCCAGGTCCTAGCTATTCCTTGAGTGCTATCAAGAAAGACTTCTGAGAGCTGTAGTTAGGCCTCCCAATGGTTGTAACTCCTCCAAAGCGATAATATTCAACTGCTGGTGACCAGAGTTTTTGGTCAGGCTTTTGGAAAAGAATAGCTTTTGTTCTTCCACTTTTATGAACTAAAAGTTGTGTCCAAGAGGAAACATTGATTTGTTCTAGCTGAATCCATGTACTGAAAATGTTGGTTATGGGACTAATTAGTCTGATTTAAATAGAAGATAAAAACTCTGCCTGCATGTGGTGAGGTCACTTTCTACCAGTGCATATCTTGTACAGATGTTGTGATGTTTTGTCTTTAACCTCATTTTGGGTGGAGGATGTAGTTGCTTGCTGATGCTAGCATTGTATAGAAGGATATAGCAGACCACATTTATGCCACATTGCTGACATACCACTCTTATAAGAAAGAGGATTTTTTAAAACTATCTTATTAGAATAAGAAAGGAGCTGTATTGGACTGCTAACTCAGCAGGAGCCATTTGAATTCTCAGTTACTCCACAGGAGAAAGTTGAGCATTCTCTTCTGATAAAGATTTATAGCCTTTAAATCAGTTGATGGCCATTGTTGTTATGTGCTATAGCGACCGTATAAACAACAGGTCTAAAGCCTGCCCTGTCCTGAGCCAGTCTCACTGACTCCAGTACACCTACCCCCATTATCTCAGTTACTGTGTGAACCCATTTCTTCCAGGGTCTTCCTCTCCTGCACTGTTCCTCTACCCTTCCAAACATGATGTCCTTTTCCAAGGACTATTCCCTCCTGTCCACATTCCCAAAGTATGTGAGGTGGAGCTTCTGAATTCTAGCATCCAAGGAGAAACTTGATTTCACCCTCTCCAGAATAGACCTGTTTGTACTCTTGGCGATCCATGGTATGTTCAATACCCCTTTCTAGTACCACAACTCAAAGGAGGAGATCCATATTTATTCTCATTCCAAAAAACGGTGACCTGACAGTGTTTGGAAAGTACTGAGCAATATTGCTAATATTACACAGAAGCAAAATCCTGCTGGAGATTATCCGAAAATGACTGGAATAGTAGTACATCGACAGAGACGTACCAGATATGCAAGCTGGATTTAGAAGATGTTGTGTCACTAGAAAAATTATCGCCTATATTAGATAGATCTTAGGAGAAAACAGAGAGTACCAGAAGAATGTCTGATGCCTGTAGATTGGGTCTTCAATTAGAGTAAGAAGTTGCTTTTAGAGAGATGCAATAATAATTTCTATGGAATGTAATCTATTAGGGAAAATACTCTCAAACTCACTGCCTTTAACTCAGAATCTGCTCATAACTGCACCTCCAGCAGGTTTCCAAAGCTGTATACCCCATGAGAGGAGATTCCCTATCTTCCTCCCAAGGAACTACTGATAGGTTCAAACAGGAGAGGCCCCACCCTTGGGTTAACAGCACAGCTCACTGTGGGCAAGACAGAATGGCTTCCTGAGCTCAGAAGGAGCTAAGAGAAACTTGATTTAGTTATGTTTTATACTGGAAATATTGACATCTCATAAAAAATTTTGGTCTTAAGAATAGCTAATGGAAAAGCACTGAGGCTTTAGAGAGTAAGCCTCTTTCCTTACAAAAGATTAAGGCAAAGTTTCATATTTTATCCTTTCTTTTATTGGATTAAATGGTGTGCATATCTTTTGAGATTGAAAAAAGTGTTCTTTCCTTTATCATATTTTATTCTAAAAATTCTTCCATTATACTATAGAAGTTTGGGAAAACAAATGAATAAAACCAGCTATCACAGCATTTCCTGTGTACTCTTGTCAAGGTTTTTTCCCTATTTCATTTCTATTTTTTGCACATTTACTGTGATAGAATATTTAAAATTTTGAATCTTATTTTTTTTACTTTATTGAAAAGTGCAGATTACTGACTTGTCTGTTACAGAAAAATGTGATTTATGGCAATTCAACATTAATGGGGATTGAAAAGAATGAACAAAAAAAAATTTGCCTCTTTTTACATATACTTATTGCTGGGTTATCTATAAATCTCTTATTAATGCCAGTATCTATCTATCTTTATCTTTCACAGAAAGTAGGAAGTTGCCAGTATTTGGTACCAGATTCACATTCACAAAATGAAAGGAAAAGATGAACTTGGAGGTTTTGTGACTGAGTTTTGATTTTATTTTGTTTTGTACCAG